TGTAGTCAATGACAAGCTCTTCATTTCATTGACGTACATTAGTGAGTTCAATCATGCTAACCACATAACGAGTGCTGTAAAAGAGATTAAAAACTTGCACTCTAGCTGCTCTTAAATATCGATCAAGTCAGACTCAAAGTTAGTGTTCTAATTGAAGGCATTACATTTCAAGAAATGAAAAAAATTGTTTTACTACGAGATTATCATTAGTTCTGGCATTGTTGTAAATCTCCACAAAGTGAGCTATATATTGCTTATGACTCCCTTTGCCATTGAATTCTTGAAACTTTGGTGGTTGATAGTTCGAAGGCATCTTTAGCAGGTCAATTCATTGGGTGTATAGCTTCGAATAAAAATGTGAGGGTTGAACTAAGCTTTCCACTTAGTTCGTGATGGCTTCGTTGATAAGGCTTTTTAGTTGACTTATGGTAAAGATACCATCAATAATACCACATATATTCCTTGCAACTCTGATTGTAGAATCCTTAATAACATCTAATTGATCTACTTGTAAAGCCTTGGTAGACGAGGTTTGACCTCCTTCATTCATACTCTTAAACTTGTCCATCAACTTTGTTATCTCATGGTTTTTTGCCTTGAGTAAAGTCAAAAGCCCCTCGATGAGTTTTGTCAAGTTAGCCATTTGATCCTTCAAAGATGTTGTTTCAATCATCATCACTAACATGGTGCCAAAACTCGAAGCCTTACTTAGTGATTGACATGGAAAAGCTTTTATAGGTGAATTGTCGAAGTCATCTTAGATGTCGAAGAGAATTTCACGCACCCCACTTGACTTTAGTAGTGGAGTTACTTGTGGCTTCATCTTTGAGGCAAGATCTTGTGCCTTTTTTACATTTGAAGTTGATGTCAACTTGAGAGTTGACTTAGGTTATGCATATAATTTGATGATGAATTTTGTTTTCAATATTAGAGTTGAAGAATATTCAATGATATATCGACGACTTGAATTAATAGCCTTATTGCTCTTGGATGCAACAATGGTGATCATGTTCCTCCTAGTTGCCATTGGGAGTTTGGTGAAAATTCTTTCTTGAAGGGAAGAGATGAGAGGTAGAAATCTCACAAGTAGAGTTGCCAGAAATTTAGAGACACAATTTTGAGCACCTAAAATTAAACAAGCACACATGTAAAAATATATGATTTTATTAAACATATGAACGTGTACAATCTTTATATAATATATTCTTTCAAAAGAATAAGACAATCCTCTGATTTTTCCCTTGAATTTGATGTATGGTGACTTCATTTATTTAATAAATCAACTCAAAATTTATACTTTGCAAGAACGCGAATTTGAGCGTGTATTGTGAAGCAAGATTTTGTGATTTAATGCTTTGAAGAGTATCTTTGATTCGTCTTCAAAGTGTTGAAGAACTCTTATGGGGCGTTTAGGCTTAATTTAATAGAGCTTAATAAGATTTGGTGATTTGATGCTTTGAAAAGTACATTTGATTTGTCTTTATAGTGTTATTGAAGAACTCTTATGAGATGTATAGACTTGATCCAATAGAGTTTTGTTCTTTGTAGACTTCAAGCATAGATGAATGAGGCTTGAGAACTCTTAAGAGAGTTTCCTTGTTTGAAGAGAGAGTTTCCTTGCTTAAAAAGTTTGTCTTGAAGAAAAATTGTATCTTCAGACCTCTTTTCTTTAAGTTGAGGCACTTTATTTATAGAGATCTGTAGAGGCTCTTAGATCCTTTTTCAATGCCACATAACATAATTTTATTGGTTGGTATTTATTGAAGAGATCTGACATTTATGACAAGATATCTTGAATATCTCATCCCAAGTGTCAACTTTTTATTGACCAAAAAATATATGAAGGCTCATTTATTTTCCATGTCATTGATTTCAATTTTATTTTATCCTTTTTTTAAAAGAATAAAATAACACATGGTGAAATTTGATTGGTAGAAAATTTGTATTTCTAAAATGTTAATGGTTTTCTATTTAGTTATTACACTCTCATAACACAAATACTCTAACCCGATTTGGTAGGTTGACCTAGTAGATTCAGATTTCTTTTTCTTTTTCTTCATTTGTTTTTTCCTTCCAATTTCATTTTTAAATATTCCAACTATAACTAAAAGGCATCAATATTTTTTCTTCTAATTTCATAACACGAATCCCAGGTTTGACGGATTAACCTGGTTTGAAGGGTTAAACTAGTTAATTCATATATTTTTTTCTTTTTCTTAAGTAGTTTTTTTTCTTTCAATTTTATCTTTTAATATTGATTTGATTAAGAATTAAACTTTATGATTTATTTTGTTTACTATTCATTAGATTATTGTAATTTCATGAAAGAATTTTACTATGCTCCTCCTTGCAAAGCACTATTTATCGGAATAATGCTTTATTTTATTTTTTTAATTAATCCTTTTTAATTTCATTTAGTAATATTAAATTTTTTTCCTTTTTTAATTACCATGTTTTTATAACACGACATTACAGTCAAATCTATATCTAAGATTCTGGATTTGATGTTGTAACCAAATTTATTTAAACTTGAATCATATATGTTTAATATTATTATTAGTATTATAAATATAATTTTTAGGTCAGATGTAACAAATACATCCAATGTTTTCAGGTATAGCTTTATAAAAACACTTAATAGATTTTGTTTTTGCAGGCCACATTTATAGTATTTTTAGTATTAAAAAACTTATGCAAAGTCAATAAAGTTCTTGATTAACAATTCTATATTTTGTTGACTAGGTAAAAATATTTTTGTACCTTGAAAAAGAAGAAAAAAATCAACACCCCGAACCTGTTGCTGGTGAAGTTATTGGCATGGCTGGAGTTGCTTTTGCTATACATGCAGGAGTTACAGGGACTTACTTTGAGTTATATTATATCTGAATTCGATGGCAATAGTTTTTTTTTGGGAAGAAGGGTTTGTTTCTTGTGCTGCCAGAGATTTTGTTTATTATTATTATTTTGATAGTAACAAAGATTTCACGGGGAGGAAGACAGAATCATCAAAGATATTAACAGTACAAATCACTGCTGATAAAATTTATTAATGAAGAAAACAAAAATGAATAATTGTATCACAGGCTACACAATGCCAGGCTTGTAAAACTAAAATGAATAAAAAAAAAAGAACTGCAAGAAGCTTGATCAGAGGAGCCACCATGCAAGCTTCCCAGAAGTGATCAGAGAAGAGATGAGAACGACTTAAGCATCGCAAGGCAGCAAAAAGTGCTGCAAATGTCTCAGAGCATCATCCATGCTTAGGTACCTCCAATGTTTTGTATTCATGATGGCCAAACTCAACTTTCCTCTCTTGAAATTGCCGTCATCCTCTATACCCTCCTCCTCATCAATACAATTCTCACTGCAAAATCCCAACTTTATCTCAGCAACAAGGCTGCTTGCGGTGACCATGTTTGAGCAACACCCCGGCAATGGAAGCTCCTTGGAAAACAAGTCTTCTGCCTCCGGAACAAGGCTGGCCTTTCCACTACACGATTCCATCATATTAAATACAGCTTTCCAACCTCTCAACACAACGTTCCACGTGACTTTTATCTCCCGTATCGCTTCCTTTTTCAGTGAAGACTCAAGATCTACGTCGACAGCGAACTTGAATATCCCATTAGGATCTACATGGAGTTCATCGCATGGTTTCGATAGGGTGAATAAAGTGGAAGACTCTCCGGTCCTTGCATGGATGACGAAGAGGAGGTCATTTAGGGGCAGGTGGGGTTTTATTGGCTTTTGAAGCTGGAGCTTGGAGGCTGCGGTGGAGGCAATACCGTAAAGGCGGTGACAAGAGACAGCTGGGTCTACGTGTTTGAGGTTGTAGACAGAAGGGTAGTGAGCAGAGCATATCGGCCGCCAAATATCCTCAGAGGAGAATGACTCCAGCCATGATTTGGAGACACAAGAAGCAGCAGCAAGGGATTTAGGGTCTAGATACTGAGCCACTAGAAAAAGAAGCTCCCAAGACGGCGATGGCGAATAGGATACTAGTTTATTCTTGAAGAGTTTTAGTCTTTTGACAGAAACATGATGGATATTTTCTTGACTAGAAGAGCGTTTGAGCTCCGTGAGAGACATGGAGAGATGGCTTAATTTGGTTTCTCCTAATTATTCTAACGATCAATTCTTGGAAGGCTAAAGAATGGAGTAGATTTCAACCCTGGAGGTGCTTCATTATATAGGCTGCTAATCTATTGATCAGCAAGCCGATGGGATTCCTGTTCCATCTCGGACATCCTATTCCGGATTAGTTAGGGTTAATCCTAATCCGGTGACGTAAAAGTTTTTAAGAAAAATCTCGTTTTAACTTTTGACCTAATAATTTTAATAGATTAATGAATTAACTTAGATCTTAAATTTAATTAGATTAATAATAAAATATATTTAAATTAAAATTTAATTTAAGTTTAGTTAGATTGGATTTAATAATCAAATTAAGTGGAGAAATATATTTTTTTAGGTACTCATGTGATTTATTTAGAACTTGTTGTTAAATGTTATAATAATAATTATTTTTTAAATGGTTTATTGTTTTAAAATATATTAAGTGGTAGAAGGTTTTAAGAAAAATCTCGTTTTAACTTTTGACCTAATAATTTTAATAGATTAATGAATTAACTTAGATCTTAAATTTAATTAGATTAATAATAAAATATATTTAAATTAAAATTTAATTTAAGTTTAGTTAGATTGGATTTGTTAGATTTGGTTTAATAATCAAATCAAGTTGAGGAATAATTTTTGTTTTTATGGCAGTGATTTATTTAGAAATTGTTAAATGTTATAATAATAACTGTTTTTTTAATTTTTTTTAATATATTAAAATAATATATATTTTTTATTTTTTAATATTAACAAATCAAAAAAATATAAAAATATAAAAAAATAATTAAAGCAAAAAAGAACTTAATTTTTTTCCACCGCGAAAACAAACAAGCGGTGTCTAACTATCCTTTATACGACAGCGTTTTTAATAATAGGGCTCCTAATTCTCTTTCTTCTTTCTCAACGGTCACTTCGCTTCTCTCTTATTTCTTCACCTTCATCCCATGTTCCAGTATCAAGATGACTACCGAAGCCGCCACCTCATCTTTCCAGAAAACAGTTAGTTACTAATCACTGCTTTCTTTTACCACCGCTTTTACACTACGATGCTGATAATGTCTCCAATTTTAATTATTTTTTTGGAAAAAATAGGTGTTGTTACATGACTGGTGGTTGATCAAAGCCGAGCAGGAGTTCCAAGGGAAGAAAATTGCTGTTGCCGGCTTAACTTCTCCTGAGTAATTATTTATTTTTACATTATCTCTCTTATAATCTTTGATTTCTTTGTAAATAATTATTATTTTTTAATTATTAAATGTTTCAGGAAAAAACCTGTTCGTGTGTTTCACTCAGCAGCAATTACCAAAAGATACGATGTTTTCACTCTTCAGACAGCTGATGGCGTCAATGTTCTTCTCCAAGGTTATATTAACAGGACACTCACTGTTGAAAATGGATTTTCTTCTCAGGTTTTCTTTTTTCCTTATTTTTTTTCGTGTTTATTAATATTATTTGTTTTTCGACATCATATCGTACTTTAAGTTAGGTTAATGTGTATGTTGCAACAGGTCTTTCGGCATTTCTGTTTCGGCTTTCCTCCTGATTGGGAAGAATGTGGAACCAAGTTTCTGAATAGTAACTGTGAAAGCGCGGCAGAGCCTCCGGTGTCTCAAAATGAATGCCGGCCTGTTTTCTTATCATTGCCAGTAGATGATGGTGTTAATAATTTGAAGAATGATGACTCAAAGAATCTTTCACCACTATCGAGATGTCGTGTAAATGATGTAAGTTGGGTGAAAGATAGTGTGGTGGTACCAGCAAAGCCTTCTGGTCACCATGTGGATGTGGCACTATCTTCTGAAAAGATAGGCAGCAAGAAAAGCAAAACCATATCTTTTGGAAAGTTGATGGCTAAAAGGTCAAGTAGTTTAGAAAGAATCAGCATCAAGAATGATGCATCGGGGGAATGCTCAGCACTCACGGATTATAATGTGGGCAATATCACTAAATCAAACTTTGACCAGACACTGTCTGTTAGAACTTCAGGTGTGGTACTGGCTGTATCCTTAGAAGTGATCTCGAGTTTAAAGAAAAAGAAAAGGGAAAATGAGGGAAACAAGGATGGACTGAAGAGTGGAAGTGATTTCTCAATGCCATCTTTGCCTCAAGGCCCTCAGGTTATGCTAAGATGCATTGAAAATAATCCTACACCAGGGCCGTCTCTTTCTAGATCTCCGACTCGGGGAGATTCTGATATTTTAAATCAATCTGATAAATGTCTCGTGGAAAACTCTGTGTTTTCCAGCATGCGGTCAGGTGCGGAAGCAAATATCATTAGTCCATCCATGGAAGAAACAGAGACATTGGATGCTAATCTCATTGATTCTGGACATAGGAAAAGCACTGCCTCTGTGACAAATCTGATAAATATACCGATACAGAAATCGGTCTCTGGACATTCAGTGAGGTACAAAGCCAAAAGGTTGAAATCAGTTGAAGGTAAACCGAAGAGAAATTCAGGCACAACTCTTGATATAGCAGAGGCAATGTTGAGAGCTTCAAGAAAGATGAATACACTGTCAGGAAATTCAAAAAGTAAAGAGTAGAAAGAAACAATAGCTGTTGAGAAAGGAGGTTTGTCCATGAAGCAAGCTAGAAGGAAAGTTATTTTTGATGCCGATGTAAGCTATTCTGATTTTTTTTCATGGTAATTTAGTTTTTTTCCTTTCCAAATGTGCAAATCCTCAACATTTATTTTTAATGTCCACCTATTCATAAATCATAACCAGTTACAACTGGCCTGACTTTATGTTTTATCATCTCCATCTTAAAGATAGCTGTTCCCCCAAGAATTCAAGTGAAATTCCTTGTAAGTTTCTGATTTTTTCATGCCCTCATCACAGTTTCTGATGTTTTCTTGCCCTCATCACTTGAAAAATGTTCTCAAAAGAAAATTGTAGATATCCTGATCGTTTTAGCATCTGCCAGTCTACCATTTCAAAATAGAGGTTAACATTTTGTCATTTATGTTGGGTTTCTTTTTTGCTTAGTTCTATATTTAGATTAGACTTGAATATCACCTTTTTTTGGTAATTGAACCTGCTATTATTAGCTATTAGCTGATAGAGCTTTTTATGATCTGTGTTTTTCATTTGCACTTTCGCATGGCACTAAAATGTCTGCCTCAAATTTTATCATTATTTTTTAACACCTTTTTAGTCTACACAAAATACTTGTTTTTAATTTGTCTACCTTGGTAAATTCTTGTAATCAGATAAGAGAAATGACAACATGTATTCATTCTCCAGAATCCTTGAATCTCAAAAGATCCAGATCAGGTTTGTTTGCTATTTTTTTTGTAGTTTATTCCTGGTTTATGAATTTTTATACATGAAACACTACAGAAATATGATCTTTTTATGGCCTTTATGACATAAAGATCAGTTTTCTGATTTCAGGAAATCAAAATGAGATGTCTTGTTGCTTATGTTTTTGCAGAAGCTATTTGTCAAACTCTTGAACTGTTTTAGATGGCCATTTCTGAGCTCATGGTTTTCCCCATGTTTGAGAAACCCAGTGATGGAAATCATCTCTATGGAGGGTCTGTTAATATATCTTCTGTAATATGATTCACCAACTGTTTAATTAATTTGTACATGTTGCAGGGAGACTACTTTTACCTACCCTAGATTTCTGGCGCAACCAAATTCCAGTTTATGATGAGGTTAGTGGTATCTCTGGTATATTCCCATTTTTGCATTTTTGGATTGTGATAGCACCTGTTCAGACTTGGCAAACACTGTCCATTAGTTGAACACATATGATATGCTTGAGGATACTAAAGTCCAATTTGCAGATATTGTTTTCTGCATTTAACTCTTAGAGAACGACATATATAGGGTAAATTTGTGACAGACATGACGATATTAATGCTTGACTCTTCAAATAAGTAATATTTTGGGACAGGCATTATGGACATGACAAAAAACACTTTGGGGAGTGTTTTTGATACAGTCATTAACGTTGACACGTATCGAAGCTTTGTGATACATGCAATTGTCATTTATGATACAGTCATTAACATTGACACGTATTGAAGCATTGTGTATCTGGTAAAACATGCAGAGTTTGTTGAGTTTTTATAATTAGCTTCACTTGGTCAAAAGTTATGTGTGAAACAAAGCTGTGAAGAACGATTTGAATTTGTCTACAGTAATTGACTTTACAAGAACTGATGTTGTAGGATTGTAAGATTCATTTTAAGGGGTGAGTGATTGGAGGTGATTGCTCTTATCTTGTCATTTCAATTCAGAAACATTTTTTTTCATGGTTCCTGTCTTATTTTCATTACCCATGTCTGTCTTTCCGCATAGATTCCAAATGTTCATTAAATGTATGTTTATTGAACCTCATTAAATCTTTATGAAGTACACACTTCTAACAAGTTTTCTTTCTGTCACTTCCCTCTCTTCTACCCCCATGGTTTTACAAGGATGATGGTACATTAAGGTTCCTTTTGTTTCAGAATCGTAATATCACTGGAGTTCAAGAAGAGCTGGGTGTAGTTGAACCATCTAGAGGTTGGTCTTTTATTTAACTATAGAAGAATTGGTGCTTTTGATTCAAAAAAAAAAAAAACCTGAAGATTTTTAACTGTACTATGGTGAAAGTAAAGTTTGGTCGGTTATGCAGGTTTTTTTTAGCTAAAAGAATCACTGCTTTTGTACTTTCAAATTTTCTACTAAAGTATTGGATTCAAATCTTGTCCTTACAAGTCAATTGTCATGAAGTGATTATCTTCATTTCTATTTATTCCATTCAGTTATAGAATTGGGTTTTCTAATTGAATGTATTTGCCGCTCATTGCATGGCATACTTTGTCCTCAGGGGTTGAATCTAAGACTCAGAAGAGCAAAAGAGAGTAAATAAAACCACAGTTTCCTTTATCTTGGGGCAATCAATAATCACCATGGAGCAAAGCCATTAGTTTGGGAGGGGAGGAATGGAGATGGTGATGGGAAACAAAGGGCTAAAGGAGGTAATTGTTGTAATGATGAGGGATTAAGTTGGTCTCTTCAGAATTGGCATTAGCACCCAATCTAGGATCTTATTTTTGTCATATGCAACCGTTTGTCATGTTTTCCTATCCTCGAACTGGTCTTTCATAATAGTAGTTTTTTATTTTTATTTTTTCTGAAAATCTGATCCAATATAATTCATAGTTCCATTTCCTCCCATCATTTTTGTTTTTCCTCTGAAGGATTTCTTTCATTTTCTTCCTTTATCCAAATGGAGAGACAATTATAATCTTTATTCATTCATTCAACTTCAAACATCAAGGGGATCGTTTCTTTAATTGGGTTCTCAAACTAGAAGTTCCTCCGATTGGGTTTCTGAAGTTTTAATCATTTCGGAATTGAGTCTTCCTTCCATGTCCGTGAAAGCTTTTTCTATCTAAACCGTATATTTTATGCAATAAAATTGGACCTCTTTGAGAGATTTTGGCATATCCTATTGCAAATTTCTGATAATTTCGGGAGAAACCCAGTTACGGAATCCTTGATCTGTTGGGAACCAAATTAAGAAATTATTTTGTTCATGGACCACATTGAAAATAAATAAATCTGAATATGGTGGCAAATGCTAATTGCACAAAGCTTGTGCATCAGAGTAAGCATCAATAATCTACCATCAAACTAGGTATGAAGATTAGTTAGAAGAGTAAGGCAGATGACAGAAGGCACAGCTTTTGGTACGGTGCAATTGCTGGTTGATTTCCATGCTTACTAAAAGCATAAATTTTTGAAGATTAGTTAGTGATCTCTTATTCTCTACTCTTTTTTGTTTTTCAAACCTAGAGCTTCTACATATAACATCATTATCATATTTGAATAGCTGAAATAATCTTTCATTCAAATGAAGAATTATTTTTTTATCATAGTGTCCAGGTCTGATTTGAGTGAGGGCTGGGGTAACTAGATCACCAGGTTAACCCATTTATCATCATGTCAATCTGAATTTTTTTTTCAAAATGATTATGTTTTAGTTTTTTTTAAAAAAAAAAAAATCCTTAATATTGACTCGATTAGATTAGGACTGAGTTACGTCAAATCAATCAAGTAGAATCAATCAAGTAGCAAGTTCATATATTAGATCACTTAAGTTTAGCTGAGTTAATATAACTATCAATTCAAATGTTAGATTTTGAATCTCAAATTTGCAAGGTCAATTTGTTAGGCTAGTCGGGCTTTAATAACTATGATTTTTACAAGGAAAAATGCAATAAGTTGGGCGTTAACAACTATGTTTGTTGTTTTTGACAAGTAAAAATGTAAAAATGCATCGAGAAAATGGAACTTAATCCTTAAGAAATCCAAACTTTATTATTATTATTATTTGAAGAAATCTAAAATCAGAAATTACTGTAATGATACGTTTATGAGTTTCAAAGGCCTAGGGAGAAATTCTCTGGCTAGAAGCTGGAAATGTAAAAGAGGCATCAATGTCCTTGCCCTTCAAGAACTTCTATTTCTTTGGATTGGAGTTGTAATTTGGTTCTTGACGAGGAAAGAATCTGACCCCAATAGTGATCATTCTGATCGACAACATCGCTTCTGCTAATTCCTTCTGAGCCTCCATTGTTTTCTGATCACAGTCAGCATAAAACTAACGTTAGATGCTATTTCCAGCAAAAACCATTAAGGCAGGGATAAAGTCTAAGGCGGTACCAGCTAGAACTGTAGCATACCTGGCAGCTTTACTCGATGATCACTAGACGAGTCCACTGTCCATTGTCTAGACAGGGTGATGCAAGTGATTTCGGCAACTGCACAGCATCGGCTTCGCCACAGCTGTCCTGATGATCACTAGACGAGTCCACTGTCCATCTCATTGGAACAACCAAATTCCTGCAGCAGAAATGGAAAAGTGATAGGCAACATTTTGAATCCTAAGAATAAAAAATATCTTGAAATCTTTGCAGTTAACTTACCCCTCCATACATTTGTATAAGCAGCGATTCATCTGCTCCTCCGTATAATTCCGAAACAAGGTGTCGAGACGCGGTGCTAGTATTGGTATATCAGATGATGGTAAAATATCCCAAACCTTCAAAATTTGAACGCAGAATGAGTTTTCCTGCAGAATGTCCACAGTCCAGATCATATTTAGCTGTCCACTAACATTATACTGCTCTATCAGTGGAGAAGAAATGCCATTGTGAACCATTAGGCTTCTGTTCTTGCGAGACTGATGCTGACGCCAACCATTTGAAAGCTTGGCTAATAGGGAAAGCACTTCCTTACAGATTCTGACATTCCTAACTCTCGCCACGGATCTCCGAAAATCATCACTGAAAAAAACCTGTATTAAAGTGAAGGTAACAGCTAATTAATACTTGGCACCGGAGCATGACATTACTGTGGGCTAAGAAGCAGTAATATCTGTTCTGAAGAATGGCTCCAGTTCCATGGATCAGCAGAGCAGCAACTATTGTATATTCTGTTAATATTTCTGAAAAAAATATTCAAGACTTGCCAAGAAATAATAAGCTCACCATCCATCTTGCATTCCGGAACAATGGAGAGTGAGTTTGTAGTAGAACATCAAGTCGGCCATGCTCGATCAAGCTTTCTGTAATAGCCTGAGCCAAACTCTCATCCTCTTCAGCGTTATAGAAGCATTGCCGATGCTTCGCATCGTTGACTATCTTCTTCCAAATAGAGCCGCTCTTAACTAAAGTTGCTTCATTTCCTAAAATCCAGAGGCAATACCTCCACGCCAGAAAATATAAAAGTTCAAATAGGAATGGAGAGACAAAAAAAAAAAAAAGGAAACGAAACTTTTGAGCTGCTGATGTTTTCTCGATTCTTATGTAGTACCTTGCACGAGTCAGCGCCACATTTGCTCGTCGAGGATTCGAAACAAAACCCACCGATCCGTTCTCATTGCTTCGAACAGTAGAGATAATTATCAGATCCTCCTCTCCACCCTGAAAACCATCAACCGTGCCAACACTTACAGAAAAGGCACTGTCAGAATCTGAAATGAATTTCCCAATCTTCTCTTGAATTGCATGAACTTGAGCCTGGTATGGTGATATGATACCTATGCTAACCTTCTTCCCAGTGCCATTAATATCTGTAACATCAACATGAAGTCAAAAGAATTCTGTAAATCTATAGATACATCAGAAACATCTGATATTTCTAAATAGAACCTTTGAAAAGTCTCCCAACTATATCAGCAGCAGCAGCAGCCTCGACTGTATTTTTGAAACTCTGTTTCTCAACAACTTCCTCTTTTCCATGGGCTATATTTATGAAAGAGTAGGATTCGAACATGTTTCCTTGGAGGAACCGTCTCCTGTAGCCAGTTTCTTTGACGTTCGGCGCATCCAAAACCTGCCTTCCATAGAACTCCGTATTCGGAAATAAGCTTATTGATGGATGCATTCGATATTGAATGTTTAGAAGATGGCTCTTGCATCCCAGCTTTACGAGCCTCTCAAACAAACTTCTACCAAAACCAGCCTTCTCTGAAATCTAATAGTGGTGCATTTTAAACATGTTATGGTATGAAAAAGTAAAAGGTTTTGATGGCATCAAAAGATAGAGGAATAGAACCATTCAGGAAAATCCAAACCTTGCTATTAACGATGGCAGGCAATTGCCGTTCATCTCCTATGAGAATAGCATGGTGAAGGCCGGAGAGTTGTAAGGGGATTGTTGATTCACATTCTTTGAGCTGAGCAGCTTCGTCAATCACCAAGCAGTGCAGAGGTGCCATTCTTATACTATGCAGCCTGGCAGAGCCTGACACGGTACAAAAAAGCAGGCACGCATTTGATAAGCAGAATTTCTCAATAGCATTTTTATCAGCGAATTCTGGAACCTGAAATTTTAGAGAAAGTATGCGTAGAGTGTTGAGGCATTCCCTTATTTCATTTCTCAACTTTATACGATTATGAAGTGTTCTTTCTTCATCTTCATTTTCCCATGGAATCTGCTTTAAACCTTCATTGGCAGCACTGAGACTAAGCAACAAGGTTTCAATTGATGTCATCAAATCAAGAGCCCTGGTCATGATCCTCATCACTTCTAATGAAATCAAAGAAGTCGGTAAGTGTGTATACAAATTCACAATACAGAACTTTAATTGCTTTCCGGAGAAATCAAATCTTTTCCATACGAATCGATCACAAGTCAAAAGTCCTTCCTTTCCCATGTTATCCTGCGAGTACAAATGGTATTGCGCTTCAGAGTCTTCAAGTAAACTTATCAATGTAGCTAAACTGTGTTTCCAGCCAGTTGATGTATCAAAGCTCTTCGCAAGTATATCAGCACGATGATCAAGAAATACATGAAGAAGGCCATTCTGATCACCATCAACCTTCATTCTCTCCCGATTCCCAAACAGAATTATGTCTCCCATGCCATAAGTTTCATATCCAACTACATCGGCAACTGTACTCACGACACGAGCTGCAACTTCTAACGCTGCAATGTTAGTTGGAACACATGTAAGTGTTCTGCATTTCATTCTTAATAGTGAGTGTAATAAGCAACTAGCTGTCTTTGTTTTCCCAGTTCCTGGAGGACCCTTTAATAATTTGACAGAATAATGGTGACAGCATCTGGCTGTGTGAATACAGCTTAAAACCGCAGCTTCTTGCGAGCTGTTTAAATTAAAAGACTGTAATGTTTCCCTTATGCAGGCAGAGGCAGCATCACTTTTTTTACGAGAAGAGCAGATAGTACAATTTTCACCATCCTGCATGAGATCAGTTATAAATGCAGTCAAGCTCAATATAGAAATGAATACAAAAAATAGATTTGCCATCTTCAAAGCTGGGGGTTACAAAAATGAGATTCTGAATCAAGAAACCAGAATCATAGTTCTTCTTACATTGAAATTATTTTGCAGCACTTTCTGAATAACGTTCATGTTCCTCCCTTCGAGTTCCAAGTGCAACGATCTCCATATTCGCAAATTTGTCGTCAGATTTATCAAATGAACAGCAAAGAGTGTTCCCTTGTTCAAGCCTTCTTCATCCACTATGGGCTTCGAAGACAGAATCGAGGGTGTCAAACGATTTCCCCTTTTCACGGCATGAACGAAAGCAACAAAATAGGATTGCTGGGTATTCCTTAAATCATCAATGCACTTCAGTTTCACATTTGTCAGGGCTATAAGATCCCCAACCCAAGGCACATATCCACCTCTGGTTTCTTCCACCGACATTTCGTAAAACAAGTCCTTAGGTAGCTTGTAATCCTTAGATTTTCTAACACGAAGTATTCTACAAGTTGGTGCTGCAGCCAGTGATTCTGTACTTGAAAGCAAATCAGCATGTGTTTCCACATGTAGGGGTGTAATGAATGCTTTCATGTAATGAGCTGTTGACATGAAGGAGAAGAAGGGGCTGTGGAGGGCGAGTCTGGCCACCCAAGGCTTGATGAAAAAGAGGGCTGGTCCAAGAGCTTAATTTGCCGAACTTTTGAAGAAAATCTTGCAGTAGAAAAACTAACTGGTTTTGACAGAAATTTAAATCCAAAAGCTCTTAAAAGAACATCATGTTAGAAAATTTGTTCCAAGGGACAAATTAAAATGGTTAAACTTAATTTAGTTAAGACTTTATTGGAAATTATTTTTCAATAAGATTTTTTAAACATCAATTCATCTCCACCAAAAGATAAGTAATAAAACATCAATGACAAATAATTAATCATTAACAACAATAAATTTTCAATTTAATAAAAGAAGTTGAAACTCTTCTACATCTTAGTTTTTCAACTTATTCTATTTAGTTTCAAGCTATATTTTTCCTTGAGCTTTCCTTCTTAAAAGAACTATGAAGAACTAAACAAAACATGGAATAAGATTATGATCTTCCAAGAGAATGTTATTGCAAATTAACAAACCTGGTCTTTGTAAAGATCCTTATTGAGCACATCTTGAATAGACCAAGAAAACACTAAATCTAGTAACCCTCTACCCTTGACCTTTTCCCACTTCACATGATCAGTTCTCTTGTCCATGGCTTTCCTGTTACATATTCATCAGCTTCTCAAAAAACACAACAACATTATATGGTTATTATGAGTTGCAAAATGAAGCACAAACTCACCTATACCATAGCAAACTCAGAACAGTTAATGTCTTGAGCACTTCTGCTAGTGAAAGAAAAGTATATGCCGTGCTTTTCCTTGGAAACGAAGAAAAGCTTGGTACATTGAAAATGTATTCCTTTCATAGACTTCATGTCAACTATCGTTTCCAACTTTTATATTCAAGTCTTTCTTCCTCGTATATGGACTTTGCCAGGGATACAGAGAAAAGAATAACTTCAGATTCACAAATGCTCCATACCTATCCCTGTAGTTCAGAATTCCTAGCATAATCTCTGTCTTTTAAACGTTTTCTAACTAAACCCTTCTGCTCAAACAAGATTCTTTCAAGCAATATCCCCATTCCTTCTTCCTTCTCTTTAGTTTTTGTTCTGTATATGTGGTTTCTGCGCCAAGAATCTTTGCATGCAGTGAAACTTGTTGCAACCTTTGAATTTGTTTTAGTTTGTCAAAGAGATCCCTCCGTATGGGCCGGTTCCAACATTTTGTTAGCCATTTAATTATCGGTGGTAAAATTGAAACATTTTAGAAACTATAAGATTAATGTTGGAAAAGAGACAAAAATATAGTTTGCCGTACAGCCTTTTTGTTACCTAATGAAATAACGTGCGTGTAGAAGAATTTTGATGTAGTTTTGCAATATATATATATATATATATATCGCCAGATTTTAACTAGATAGGAAGACAACTTATCCGTTATTTATATATCGCCAGATTTTAACTAGATAGGGAGACAACTTATCCATTATTTATATATCGCCAGAGGCAACTTATCCGTTATTTTATACGAAACTTGTCCCGAGTTTAACAACCCTGTTTAGGAGATGATCGTCATCTCATATTTGATTCCCACTGTATATTTCTCCTCTTTAGCTCATCTAAAATCAAAACATTAACATTGAATTGATGCCTGAAACTAGAAAGGAAAAATATCTTCATTAATTTTTACAACCCTTTTGCAACATAATTAGACTTAGCATAGGTTGACATAGTTAAACAAATATATAGCCATGCAACAAGTAGGGAGGACTTCATTATTCAGTCAGACAGCTGCAACTTCCATTCAAGAACTTGTAGAGCAACCTGAGGAGTCAAATTGTCATCTTAATTTTTGTTTTCACACATTAGAGCAAGAGAGATTATTCTAGAAATATTTTAACAAGAGTACTAAAGATGTCCTTACCACATTAATTATTATTTGGCCTTAACCACCTAGGTTTTGATCCCCTTGTTCCACTGCTAAATCCATCTTTCTTAGACCTCCAGGGCTGTCTGATACTCATGAACATCATACAAGAATTGGTGATTCGAAGAATACTACTGATAGAGTGGTAGGTCGAAGCTAAGACAACATAAAATTTGACCTTTCCATTGTGAAACAAATTGTTCAGAGTTCTAGTATTGCATACCTACTAGGTGTTGCTGGTGCTTCTGATGCATCCCTGATAACAAGTGAAGCTAATGGTCGTGACAGGAGTTGTGCAGGATCGGTTTCAGGCTTACTA